GAGACATCCCCACAACTCTGGCTACTTAGGCTACCTGGGCCAATCCGTCTACGTGGGCTACTTGGGCCGCTCGAGACATCCTCACAACTCTGGCGCCGCTGCTCGAGACATCCTCATCACTTTGGCTACTTAGGCTGCTTGGGTCAATCCTCTACTTGGGCTACTTGGGCCGCTCGAGACATCCTCACAACTCTGGCGCCGCGGCTCGAGACATCCTCACCACTTTGGCTACTTAGGCTACTTCTGTCAACTCTCTACTTGGGCTACTTGGCCCGCCCGAGACATCCGCACAACGTTGGCGCTGCCGCTCGAGACATCCGCACAGCTTTGGCTACTTGGGCTACTTGGGCCAATTCTCCACGTGTGCTGCTTGGTCTGCTCGAGACATCCTCACAACTCTGGCGCTGCCGCTCGAGACATCCGCACAGCTTTGGCTACGTAGGCTACTTGGGCCAATTCTCCACGTGGGCTACTCGGTCCGCTCGAGACATCCTCACAACTCGTGCGCCGCCGCTCGAGACCTCCTCGCAACTCTGGCTACTTGGGCTACTTGGGCTTCTTGGGTCAGCTCTCTACGTGGTGCTACTTCGGCGACTTGGGCTACTTGGGCCAATCCTCGACTTGGGCTGCCGGAGCCGCCCGAGACATTCTCACAATTCCGGCGCCGCGCTACTGAGGCTTCGGCTACTTGTGTCAACTCTCTTTTTCGGCTACATGGGCCGCTCGGGACATCCTCACAACTCTGGCGCCGCCGCTCGAGACATCCTCACACCTTTGGATACTTGGGCTTCTTGGGCTACTTGGGTCAACTCTCTTCTTGGGCTGCTCGGGCCACTTGAGACAACCTCACAACTCATACGCCGGTGCTTCAGACATCGTCACAGCTTTTGCTACTTGGGCTACCTGGGTTACTTGAGTCAGCTCTCTACTTGGGCTACTTGGGCCGCTCGAGACATCCTCACAACTTTGGATACTTTGGCTACTTGGGCTACTTGAGTCAGCTCTCTTCTTGGGCTACTCGGGCCGCTCGAGACATCCTCACAACTCGCACGCCGCCGCTTGAGACATCCTCGCAACTTTGTCTACTTGGGCTAGTCGGGGCAACGCCTTGGGCTAGTCGGGGCAACGCCTTACTTGGGCCGGAAAAAAGAAAAAGTCACCGGGGGCTTCGGGGTGACTTTCTCTTCTGGCGTTTTCCGCCTCGTCTGATTCGGCTTGATTCCGCTACCGTGTTGACTCGAATCAGCGCCTCACTCGGGGCGCTGGAGTACTACCTCGGCCACACATCATAATGTAATGTTCCGCTAGACCTGACTCGACCTGCGCGTCGCCGCTCGGGGCATCCTCACAACTCGGACACCGCCGCTCGAGGCGTCATAACAACTTGGGCGCCTGCGATGGAGACATCCTCACGACTCGGGCACCGCCGCTCGAGTCATTTTCACAACTCAGGTGCCACCATTCTTTCTAAACATCATCCTCATCATCGGCTCAAGCTGATGCTAAACGCAGTTTGGCTTACTTCGGCTGCTCGGGTTACTTGAGTTACTCGGGCCACTTGGGTTACTTGGGCTACGTGGGCTATTTGGGTCAAACCCTCCACTGGCTACGTGGGCCGCTCCAGACATCCTCACAGCTCTGGCGCCGCCGCTCAAGACATCCTCACAACTTTGGCTAATTGGGCTACTCGGGCTAGCTGAGTCAACCCTCTACTTGGGCTATTCGGGTCACTTGTGTCGTCCTCACATCTCGTGCGTCGCCGCTCGACACATCCTTATAGCTTTGGCTACTCGGACTACTTGGGCTACTTGGCCTACTTGGGTCAACCGAGTTAGAGACACTCCTCGCGCACGCACTGGAGTGAGCCGAAGTGTGAAAACCAGGTGGGGCTTGGACACCCTGCTTGGCGCATCCCCCGAGGCCGAAGATCATTGCTTTCCTGGCGTAGCCCAAACTTGTTCTCCGCAAGGTGTAGGTCATTCGCTGACAGAATCATATATGACATTCCACGAATGTTGCTACGCCCTTGTATGTGCGCATCAGCCCACGGCGCAATGCCTAGCATGCTTTGTGTATCGAATACGCATACGGCGAATCACCGTCGCCCCCTTTATCTCCTAGACGCACATGCGTTGGTGAGATGTCGAGCGAAGGTGTGATAACGCTTGTGGACTCCGAGCTTCCCAAGCGCTTGCGGAAACCACGGAACATTGGGAAGGCGAAGTGCGGTAAGCTTGACTCATTCTGATTAAGTTGAGAATGGGTGGATTGGAGTACGCCAAAGTTGAGTATGAGTAATCCGAAGAGGAGTGAGCCTGGGTGTGGGTGAGTCTATGTACGAGTGGTTTGGAAGGGAGAGGGCGGGAGCGAGGAGGCGGAGACGCCACACAGCGGGCGAGGCCAGCGGCCATGGACGGAGAGAGTGAGAGAGGGAGGGAGGGAGGGAGGGAGGGAGGGAGAGGGAGGAGCATCGGGGGAACAACCAATGCCATACACCTGAACTTTCGGAGCTCCGCGCGGACTTCTCGGATCGGCGTTGGAGCGGATCGGCCTCCGGCGCCGCCGCCTCTGCGCGCCAGGGAGAGGTGCCCCAGGGCGGATCCAAGAAGGCCGCCAGACCTCCGGAAGTTGATGTTTGTGTCCTCGTCTCGGCGGCGAGCGAGGGGGGGAAGTGAGGCGGAGAAGGCCTGCTCGGAAGGCGGCGGGACTTCCCGGAAGCCCTCGCGCCTTCTGGGAAGATTTCGCCGCGTCTTCGGGGAAGGCTCCTTCGAGCATTTCTCGGAAGGCCAGGGAACTGCCGCGCCTTCCGAGGAGGCCCGCCCCTTCTCACCTGCCCCCCCATGCTCGCCGCTGAATCAAGGAAGGGAAGAGAAGGGTAAGGATTAGGTCGGGCATGTCTTCCTACAGGCGGATCTTGAAAGACAAATGACAATAATAGTCAAGCAATGTTTAGACACAGCCAACAGAGCACGAAACATCGCCGCCAGACTGTTGTTGTAAACTATTATTGGATGTTCCTCATGCCCCCCGTGCTCGCCGCCGACGGTCGGCTCCCCTCTAGGCATCCTGGATGGGGTCCGAGAAGATGGGGTCGAAGGATCGCGCCGCATCGCCGATGCATCGACGATGCGGCTCGATGTGGAGCCCGATTTTCCCCACGCCGGCGTCGCGGATGCGTCGCCGATGCGTCGCCGATGCCTCGCCGATGCACCGCCGATGCGTCGGCGATGTACTGACGATGCGGCGCGATGCTTCGACCCCAACTACTCGGAGCACATCTCGGATTATGATGTTCCAACCTACTTTAGCCTAGATCACCAGAAAGAATTTCGAGCACCAGCAAAAAAGAACCGAAGCTCGAGGGGTTTTCACATGTCGGGCCCTGGGAGACACTCGTCCGACACTCGTTCGACACTCTTCTGGTTGCTCGAGGGTGTTTTTGGGGATGTGGTTCTTAATTACGATGGGAGTAGCAAAAACCTAGGAGGCCTCCATCCCCGAAAAGACGGGGGGGGCACCACCACGGCCCGGGCATGACCCACCCGAGGGCCCCTGGAGGCCCGGGCATGACCCCAACTATTCGGACCCCATCTAGGATTAAGTCGGGCGTGTCCCTCTGCAGGGGCAATATTCAAAAATAGTTGAAAAATAGTCTGGGGACAATGTTTTGAGTATTTTCTTACCATTTCGGAGTCTTTCTTGAGTGTTTATAATTCTTCGTCGAAAATCCCTTCCTCCCCCTCCCCCCCTCCTCGTTCCTCCTCCTCCTCCTCCCTCCTCCTCCTCCTCCTACTTCCTCCTCCTCCTCCCCCTCCTCCTCCTCCTCCTCCTCCTCCTCCTCCTCTTCCCTCCTCCTCCTCCTCCTCCTCCTCCTCCTCCTCCTCCTCCTCCTCCTCTCCTCCTCCTCCTCCTCCTCCTCCTCCTCCTCCTCCTCGTCCTCCTCTCCTCCTCCTCCTCCTCCTCCTCCCCCTCCTCCTCCTCCTCCCCCTCCTCTAGTCGAGAAGTGGTGCACCTCAAGGTGTTCCACAATGAACACATAAGCATCGCGGCGATATTCGTAGGACGAGGATACAGCTGTTCCAGGACTTTCCGAAACGCTCTCAGAGCGTTCCGGAACGCTCTGAGAAGGGCGGCGCCCGAGGCATCTTCCAGAGCCGCCGGATCTCAGAGATTCTCGATATTTCCTCACCCGGTTCTATCTTCGTCACGACTTCGTCAGATCACGAAAGTGAAACATGCACCAGGAATGGGCGTCGGTCGAAGAAGAAAGAATTGCAAAGCATCAACTTTCGGCGCTTCAGGCGGATTTCTTGGATCTGTGTTGGGCGCCCCTGGCGATGCCACCTGCGCCGCCCCTGGCGCGCTCCGCGCGCCAGGGAGAGTGGCCCAGCGCAGACCCAAGCAATCCGCACGAACCGATGTAACTCATGCTTTATGCAGTTATTATAGTACATGTTAATTGTTATGCAGGTTTCGTTCATGTGTTGGTATTGTTAATGTTTTTTTATGCAGCTCGTCTTGTGCAGATCCGAAAGCTCAATGTTTATGCCGTTTTGTTTTTGTAGTCGGAACGATGGCGAGGAAGTCCGGGCCGGACGAAAGGGGGCATTGGGAAAGGGGGGGTTACGACATCTGCTGCATGCAGCTGGTTTCGGCCCCACCGAGGAGCCCAGCCCCTGTCACGTAGCCGCCCCCGGCGCCGGGAGGCGCCGGGAAGATCAGCTGCGTGAGCTGATTCTCGAACCCCCCCCTCTGCTGTCTGGTCCCCCCCTCTCGCCCGGCCCGAGAAGCCCCTACTTAGCCACATGCGAACCCTACCCCTACCCCCCACGACTTCCGAGGGGGAGGGCGGGGTTCACTTCGCTCGGGAGCTCCCGAACGGAGTGAACCCCACCTTCCCCCTCAGAAATCGTTGGGGGTAGGGTTAGGCTTCGCATGTGGCCCCCTAAGGGGAGGCCTCGGTGGAGGCCTCGTGCTGGTGTCCCCCTGCCGCGGTGGAGGCCTCGTCTTGGTGTCCCCCTTCTCCTCCATCAAGGGCGCCGTGCAGAGCATCGTGGGGCAGGCGCCCCGCCCCCGCGGAGGGGGGGGGGGGGCGGCCCTCCTTGCGGCACGCGCCGCGGTGGCCAGGGCCGGCTCGGCCAGCTTCCCCCCCTCGCGAGGCTGTCGAGGTTCGATATCCTCCTCCTCCTCCTCCTCCTCCTCCTCCTCCTCCTCCTCCTCCTCCTCCTCCTCCTCCTCCTCCTCCCCCTTCTCCTCCACCTCCTCCTCTTCCTCCTGCTCCTCCCTGCTCCCTCCTGCCCCCAGGCTCCTCTTCCCGCCCTCCCTTCTCCACTCCCCCCTCCTCCGTCCTCTTCCTCCCCCTTTCCCCCTCACGGAGCGCTCTCAGAGCGCTCTGGAACGCTCTGAGAAGGCCGCGGCGCTCGATACACCCCTCAGACCTTCCCGAGCTGTCCTCGTCCGGTTCTGTCAGCGTCCTGGGCTCGTCTCGTGGAGGAGGAGGAGGAGGAGGAGGAGGAGGAGGAGGGGGAGGACAACCGCTGCCACATGTGGTGACGCATTTGTCGTCCCCAGATCTCGAGGAGCTCTCCTGAAGTTCGGGCCGTATTGCGGGTCTCTCGGGCTCCTGTTGTTTTTTGTGTCTTTTGTTCTCCCGAGGCCCGTTGGAGCATTCTTGGCCGTGTGGAGAGTCTTTTTGGGCCGTCTTCGGCCGTGGAGAGGCCTTCTATCAGGAGGGAAAAAAACACACAGACACAATTCATCGTCGACCTCCAGGAAAATATGGGAAACTGTGGGAGGTGGGGGGAAGACAAAAACCCAGTAAATATGGGAAAATATGGGGAATATTTTTATTTGTGTGTATTTATTAGTGTGTCCCAGTTCCCCTTCATTCTAAGGCAGTCGTGGATCGTTCCAGCCCTCTTGGGTCAGCTTCTCGGCCCTCTCGGGCCGCCGCGCGTGCTCGCTCGTCACTTTGTGCTCGTCGTCAGGCGTCACTGCTGGCTGCCCTCGCCAGCAGAAGGAGGAGGGGCTGGGAGGGGAAGTCGGGTAGGTGAGGGGTGAGCGGGAGGACGAGGGAGTAGAGTGTAGCTGGAGGATGGAGGGCGCCTGTCGTCGTCGACATTCGCCGTCGTCGTCGTCGTCGTCGTCGTCGTGGCCAATCGTGTGTCATTAATCGTCAGTCGTCGTTTCCTTCGTTCGTCCGTCGTCGGTTGCCGTCGACGCAGTGCTCTCTCGCGCACGCGCCACCCCCGGTGGACATGAGGAGGGTGAGGAGGAAGATGTGGAGGAGGAGGGAGGAGAGGGAAGACGATGACGTCGACGGAGGAGGCTAGGAATCGGGATGCCTCAGGGCAGTCCTGGGCCGCGGGGGGTCCCATCCTGGCCGTTCTGGACCCTTCGGTGTTTTTTGTTGCCAGCTTGGGTGTGTGTTTCCCCTCAGGCATGCTCACTCGTGGTCGTCGTCGTCGTGATCATATATGTTTTTGGCGTCAGTCGTCAGGCGTCATCCGTCGTCGTCGCCGTCGGAGGCCGGAGGGCCGCGAGGGCAGGAGTCGGAGAGATGGGGGGGCGAGGGGTGGGCGCGATGAGGGGGGGAGAGGCAAGGTGAAGGGTGGAGGGCGCCTGTCGTCGTCGACAGCGGCCGCTGGAACCACGAGGACAAAGAGACGATGAGCATTAAGTGGAGTGTTAGGATGAGGATGATCGAGCTGGCCGAGGGGGGGTAATAAGGATGCTGGTGGCAATGGTGATACCGACGGTGGTTACCCCAACGGCGACATTGATAGTAGTGATGACGATCATTATGACAATCATGGTGGTTGGCCGTGACGTTGAGGAGGAGGAGGAGGAGCAGGAGATTGACCTTCCTGGTTGTAAAGTGTTTTTCCAGAAAATCCATGCTGATTGTGAAGTGCCCCATCTCGATTCGAAAGTGTCGTTACGATTGTAATGTGCCCCGCACGCCCCCCCGGGATTTCCCCGGGAGTTTTCCGGGACCGCCCCCCAGGACCCCCCACCCAGGAGCCCCCCTGGCGAGGAAGGGGCAAAAGGAAGAGGCCCCCCTTCGACGCAGATGCGACATAATTCGCTCACCCTCATTTGTTCGATCCTCTTCGCGACGACGACGCTTCAAAGGAGGAGGCTGGCCTGCTTCGGTTCGGATTGGGCCGGCCTCGCGTCGAAGAGCCCCTCGCACGCGCCGACGGGGTCGGCGGACTTGTGTGCGTCTCCCTGGCCCCCCCTCCTCGCGGGCGCCGCGCCGTCGTCCCGCCGTCCGCGCGGCTCGGGGGCAGGTCGCGGAGCAGGCCAGGGTGGAGGGTTTCTCCGAAGAGTTTAGGCGACCCGTCCTCCTCCTCCTCCTCCTCCTCCTCCTCTTCCTCCATCCTCCTCCTCCTCCCTCTCTTCCTCCCTCCTCCTCCTCCTCCCTCCTCCTCCCCCCTCCTCCTCCTCCTCCTCCTCCTCCTCCTCCTCCTCCTCCTCCTCCTCCTCCTCCTCCCCTCCTCCTGCTCCTCCTCCTCCTCCTCCTCCTCCTCCATCCTCCTCTTGCTCCTCCTCCTCCTCCTCCTCCGCCTCCGCCTCCTCCTCCTCCATCCTCCTCTTGCTCCTCCTCCTCCTCCTCCTCCTCCTCCTCCTCCTCCTCCTCTTCGTCCTCCTCCTCCTCCCCCTCCTCCTCCTCGCCCTCCCCTCCTCGGGTCGCCTATTGCCCCGGGGGGAACCGTCCGCGCACGGCCAGAGCGTTGGAGTCCGGATCGCACGGCGCAGTCGACATTGACAGTAAGAAGGAGCGATTTCCCAAGGGTCTTGGCATCGCTCGGACGTGTGCGTTTTTTCTTCGGCGAGGACCATCAAGGAGCATTCTTGATCACTTGGCGAACAAAAAAAAACACGCACGAACCCCAAAACAAACACAGGGAATGGACGTCCGAGCGATGGCCAGGGGTACCCCTGCATCCTTGCCCCTTCGGTCGTTTTCGGTCCATCCTCGGCCGCTTTCGATGACCAGCCCCGCTCGAAAAGCTTCGGCGTGGGCGTCCAAGGAGGGCCCGTGCATCCTTGCCGCGCATCCTCACGATTAGTTTTGATTGCAGTCTTGGAAGAAGTGCATAAGCACAAAGTTTCGGAGCTCCGCGCGAATGTCTTGGATCAGTGCTGGGCTCCCTCCGGCTCCGCCCCTGGCGCGTTCCGCGTGCCAGGGTAGGGGCTCCAGCGCCAATCCAAGAAACCCGTGTGGATCTCCGAATCGTTATGTTTCTGTCATGGTTTGCTCCCCGGTGGAATGGCAGATATGCGGTGATGTGTGTTCCCCCTTTTCCCCTTCTCTTTCTCTCCCTCCCCCCTGCTTGCTTGAGCGCTGCGCTGGTGCCTGCTCTTGTTGCTGTATATAGCTTTCCTCGCGTTCTGGCCCTCGGGCCCTGCTCGTCGCGACGGCCGGGCCGGGCGCGGCTCGAAAGTTTGGCGACGACGACCCGAGGGCGCCTTGCGCGCAGTGGGCGCTGGGAACGACAGGGCCGTTCTCATTACCGATTCCGTTTCGCCGTTGTCCTGCCGGTTCCGTCGCGGCTTTTGTTGCCGGCTCTGTCGCCGTTTTTGTGGTTTCCGTTGCTGGTTCTAAGTTCTAGCTGCAATCCCGGAGCCGTCTTTTGCAGTTTCGGGTTGCCGATCTTGTTTTTTTTTGTTCGGAGGCGGCAAAGAGGGGGGTGGTGCTTAGGGGGGGGATATCATGGTGGGGGCCATGATATCTCCCCAGATTTCATGGCGCCTCTTCTTATTTCATTACGTCCCTGGCCCCCCCTCAGGGACGCGCACATGCCGCCGGCCATGACTTGCGCAAAAAATAGTTTGGGGGCGATTTTTATAGTATGTTTGAACATTGTTGAAACATTGTGGGGGTATTTTTCATTTTTCGCTCAAACTCCCCCTGTAGGGGGATAGGCCCGACCTAAACGGAAGTCGTCTATATCCGCGCCAATTTTATAGGCCGATGAAGAAGATTACGGTGCGGTCAATCTCACATGTGGATCCGATGTTGCAGATGTGATCTCGCGTCTTCTTTCCAAGGTAGTTGTTTTTTCTCAGTTTTATCTCCATCCAGTTGTGCTGCAGCGCGAGTTCTCCGCCCTGCTTGGGGCATGTGGGCGCCTGGGGAAGGGGGGGCATGGCCATGGACGGTTCCACCCGCCCGCAGTTCTGATGTTGACAGTTTTTTTGGTGCGGGAAGCAACATGCAAGCACATGTACCTTAACGAACAGATGAACGCCTGATGGGCGCGATGGGCAGCAGAGCCCTAGCCCAGAGCTACACCGCAAGGGCCGGTCACAAGCTAGTTGCAAGCGCGGTGGCGGTCTTTATTATCAATCGCAGTCTTAGCATCTTTATTTGAATGTTCAGTGCCAGTTTCATCCAGCTGGCTGTAGCGAAAATGGATTCAGAAGCAGTGATGGCACGATTCAGAGACCTTCGGAAGTCAATCCGACCGCAGTCGCAACAGTAATCACCAGAGCACCGTTGGCAATTCAACCGGGACACCATCGGCAGACCACAGGAACGATGATCGCGTTTCATTCGATAATGCCTGTACACGCGGATAGAAGTGAGCGGCTGTTTCGGGCTTGACAGTTTCGGGCTAAGGCGGAAAGCCCCCCGCTGTCGCCGATGTGTGTTCCGCAACGCCGTGTCCGTGCGCCGTGGGCCCGGCCACACGGTTGGGCCCCAGGCTGGCCTTTGGCCGTGTGCGGGCACCCCAGCTGACCATACAGAGGAAGCCCATGCCGAGAAACACCCTGCTTGCCTCCAGGGTGTCCTGGGTTTCCTGGGTTTTGATGGTTTTGCTATGGAAGGCGTGACTTTCCTCAGCCCAAAATCAATGGACGTCCTGGGGTCCCAGGGTCGGGCTTCTTGTGGAAGGTTTATTGTGGTTGAGCTCCTATCGGGCCGAACGAAAGGGGGGGATAGGGAAAGGGGGGGGGTACGAAATCTGCTGCATGCAGCTGGTTTCGGCCCCGCCGCCGGGCCCATTCCTTAATTCATGGGCGCCTCCGGCGCCGGGAGGCGCCGGGAAAATCAGCTACGTGAGCTGAGTCTCAACCCCCCCCTTTGTTATCCCCCCCTTTCGCCCGGCCCGATCCTGCTGTGCGATGCTGTGATCACCAGGGCGTGCGTTGGCCCAGTTTGTGTTTGCCCCGGCGAGCACCACGGGCCGCACGCAGCCCGTGCCTTCCCTCGTTGCGCTGCCTGCGCCATCTCGAAGGGCTTCGGTGGACGAGCACGCGTTGACTTGGCATCGCTCGGACGTGTGCATGTTTCCTCGGCGGGGACCATCGAGGAGCAGCCTGGATCATCGAGCAACAAAAACACGCGCCCAAAACCGGAGCATGCACGGGGAATGGCATGGACGTCCGAGCGATGGCAAGCTGACGCCAACGCGCGTTCTGAGGATCGTCGAACGACGCCCGGGCCTGGGCAGCCGCGCAGGTACTAGCTGGCTGGTGTCGCCAGGCGCACGTTGTTTCACGTCCGGCTGACCCACCGCAGGGGCCCAGGGCGAGGCCCAGGACTCCCTTCCAGAAGACGCGACTTTGAGAAGATTCCTGGAGGGCTCGCGCGGCGCGCGGACCTGAAGTCGGGCATGTCCCTCTACAGGAGGGAGGGTCAAAGATAGTGGGAATGTCGTCTGGGGACGATGGTTGGACTCTTTCGGAGCATGTTTGGGCATCTGTTGACCATACAGTCGGGGCCCTGAAGAAGGAACCCTTTTCGTTGGGGAGGGGCTCCGCGTTCCTTAAGTGTTTCACAGCTTGCCTCAGGCTTTCCTCATGTTTTCGACCGGAAGTCGAAGGTTAACTTATGGAAAAAAGGGGCCTCGTTCCTTATTTAGGGTTCCTTAGGTCAACGCCCCGACTGTATGTTCCTGCTTCTTCGTCCAGCACCCGCGTGTAGGAGGACATGCCCGACCCGAACCTGGTCCGCACGTCTGCCCCGCAAGATGCTGGGCAGCGTTCGCGCGGCGATGTTCCGGCGTGGGTCCGGCGCAGATCCGACGAACCCGCCGCAGATCGGACGGAAATCCTACGTACATCGGGTCTCGGGCGCCTTGAGACTCGGGCCGAACGAAAGGGGGGGATCGGGAAAGGGGGGGTTACGAAATTTGCTGCATGCAGCTGGTTTCGGCCCCGCCGAGGGGCCCAGTCCTCGATACATGGCCGCCTCCGGCGCCAGGAGGCGCCAGGAAAACTGGCTACTTGAGCTGATTCTCAAGCCCCCCCTTTGCTATCCCCCCCTTTCGCCCGACCCGAGAGACGGGGGTCAATGCAAACGGGGTTCAGCCAGGGCGCCAGATCTTGCAGGATCCTGCAGGGCCAGGGGCGCACTGACCCAGGTTTGGGTGCAGGATCCCGCAGGATCTTGCAGGATCCTTCGCACCGACCGAGGTTTGGGTGCAGGATCTTGCAAGGCCTGACTGACCTGGGTCTGGATTGACCCGGGTCAGAAGATCCCCGAGGGTCTCAAGTTGTTGCGCGAGGCCTCCAGGATTTTCCCCTCAGAACGCGCTCGACAGGCTGCGGTACTCCAGTTGGGGGGGTGGAGGGTGCGGGCCGCTTCGTCCCCGGCGGCGGCCTTCCTGTCCCGCTCTTCAGTCGAGTCTCCGAGATGGTGGTTGGGGCGTCGGTGGTTGAGCCAGTGTGCAATATCGAAGGGGAAAAACACAAACAGAAACTTTTGGCGCTCCGCGCGAATTTCTTGGATTCGCGCTGGGCCCCCCCTGGCGGCGCCTCCGGCGCCGCACCTGGCGCGCTCCGCGCGCCAGGGAGGGGGGTCTGGCGCGGATCTAAGACGTCCGCGCGGAGCGCCAAAAGTGTATGTTTACGTGCTTTTTTCTACAAGAACAGTCTGAATCATCAAGATACAGTCGGGGCGCTGAAGAAGGAACCCTTTTCGTTGGGGAGGGGCTCGGTGTTCCTTGATTGTTTCAAAGTTTGCCCCGGGTTTTCCTGATGTTTTCCATGGGAAATCGAGGGTTCGTTTATGGGGGAAAAAGGGGCCTCGTTCCTTTTTTAGGGCTCCTCAGGGCAAGGCCCCGACTGCATGGAACCAAAGTCTCGAACCACTGTATCCTGATCCCACATGGTGGCAAGTGGGACGGGGGGCCCTGCGTGTGCTCCCCGCTCACCATGTCGGCCCTTCAGGCTTCCCAGATGGGGTCGGAGTCGATCGGCCGCATCGGCGATGCATCGACGCCGCATCGGCGATGCATCGGCGATCGGCCGCACCGGCGATGCATCGACGGTGCGGCTCGATGCGGAGGCCGTTTGCCTCCACGACTGCGTCGCCGATGCGTCGCCGACGTGGGCGGTGCATCGCCGATGCGGCGCGATCCTCCGACCCCGTCTACTAGGACCCCATCTAGGAGGCCTCTACGTTAGGTTGTCTGTTTGATAGTTTCCAAGTGCGGAAGAAGACAGCAGTAAGCACCGTCTCACTGACTACCAGGTGGTTCCTTTCAATTTGCGCTCTGCCCCCTGCGTGGGGGTCAGTTCGAGGCGCCTCGCCCGGTTGGACCGCCAGGGTGATTTCTCGTGTTAAGTCGGGCATGTCCTTGTGCAGGAGGAGTATTCAAAAATAATCAACATTATCTTGGCGAAGGACCCAACCATATGCAGCTGTGAGTACCGCGTTGTGGGTACCGCTCTCGGTGGAGATCCCTATGGGGCCACGATCCTCGTGAGGGGTGTGCAGAAACCAGCGGGGGAACGCATGCAAACCCTGCCGTTGGGGCCTTCGGTGGAGCTCCTTCTGGGGCCACGATCCGCGTGAGGGGTATGCCGAAATGGGGGGGACGCATGCAAACCCTCCCGCTGGGGCCTTCGGTGGAGCTCCCTATGGGGCCACGATCCTCGTGAGGGGTGTGCAGAAATCAGCGGGGGAACGCATGCAAATTCTGCCGCTGGGGCCTTCGGTGGAGCTCCCTCTGGGGCCGCGATTCTTGTGAAGGGTGTGCCAAAATGGGCGGGGGGACGCATGCAAACCCTGCCGCTGGGGCCTTCGGTGGAGCTCCCTATGGGGCCACGATCCTCGTGAGGGGTGTGCAGAAATCAGCGGGGGAACGCATGCAAACCCTGCAGCTGGGGCCTTCGGTGGAGCTCCTTATGGGGCCACGATCCGCGTGAGGGGTAGGCCGAAATGGGGGGCGACACATGCAAACCCTGCAGCTGGGGCCTTCGGTGGAGCTCCCTATGGGGCCACGATCCTCGTGAGGGGTGTGCCGACAGGGTGGACATGCGGCGAGCAGAAGCAGGAATGGGAGGAGGGAGGAGGGGGAGGAGGGAGGGAGGTGAGGTGAGGTGAGACGCGGGGCGCTGTCGTTTTTCAACGAGGACCCAACACCACAGGAGGGTTGGGGAAAATAGTCTGGGGACGATTTCTTGATTATGTTTTGACCACTTTGAACCTGTATTGTATTGGCTGTTCGATGTTTCCTCCACCAAAGTCCGCCCGTAGGAGGACATGCACCCAAACGTGCCCGGTGTGCGGTTCCTGCAGCCGCAGATCGGCTGGAAGCCCATCTCTCACAGCTGGCGGGCAAGCCCCGCTTCGTGCAGTGTGCGGCTGTCCGAGCGACACGGAGAATGCAGTCATGATGTTCGCAGCGTGGTGGTCGGGAGGGCTCCATTTCTCTCCATCGCTCCCCCTACCTCCCAGTCCGCATCGGCCCCCTTCTCGCATTCCTCCCTCTTCCTTGCTGGCTTATCTCGCTCCCCCCGTGTCGGACCGATACATGCATCGGCCCGCACGCGCAAGGTATTCGCGTGGTCTATCACCGAGCGGTTTCCGAACCTCAAGGCAGCTATACCTGTTGCATTGTTACCGTCTTCCCTTTTCTTGGGGCCAACATCGCAGAGCGGATTTCGTTCGGAAAACGGTAGGATGGGCCCAGAGTGTCCTGGAGAATGTCGTTCCGGATTTCGAATTGAGTTTCGTGCGGATTTTGGGCCAGGAATGGGGACTCAAGAAGATCTACGCTCTACGCGAAATTCATTTCGTTTTTTCACTTGCCGTTTCGGGGGTTTTGCATTGACAGAAATCCACGCAAGAATCCGCTGCAGCACGTCTGCAAGGTCGGTGCAGTGACCCTTTGGCTCTCACGTTCCCTGTAAGCTGGATTGCGTTCGGTGCGCATTGGTTTGGGCCATCCCCTTGCTCAGTGCACCACTTGAGCTCAGAGCAAGGCATCACCCAAGCTAGCATGGTAGCAATTAGTTGGGCCAGCAGCCACGCTGTTGCAGGTCGGAATCATGAATGATAGTTTGTTGTTGTGCATGCGCCAGTGCACAGTTGGATCGGCGTCGCTCTTAGTATGCCGTATCTTTCTCTGAAGTGTGTCCGCATGCAGGGCACATTGTAATGTGCACATGCAGCGTGTGGCATGTACTCACCAAGAGTGGTGTGCGCATGTCTATGGTGTTCCTGTTGGTTGGCAACATGGATATTGCATTGATTGCCCTCAACTGTGTGCACCAGTCGATGCTACAATGTTGATGCCAGGTCATTTCGAACGTGTCGTGCCCCGTTCTGTTCATCCATGGCGAAAGCGATTCGCTTATACCAGCAGAGCATTCCTTGCGGCTCTTCAAGAGATGCCGTGCCAGGATCTCTTGCACATGTCACATGCCGATTTGTTCACGAAGTGTATCAGACATTCGATACGGTGGAACGTGAAGGACTAGGACGAGGACGAGAAGGAGGAGGATCACGAGGACGAGAACAGAGCCTTCAAAATCGCCTCTTGCAGCCCTCTTGTGATTCTTTCGGGGGATCTTCGGGTCCTCCTGGCGCTCTTTTGGAGGGTCTGCAGCCCTCTTGGGCCCTCTTGGGGCACTCTTAGGGACCTGTTGGGAGCCCTGTAGGCCTCTTGGGGCTATCGTGGAGGGCGTCGGTGACAAGAGAAGGGTCGTAACGTTTGGACCCCACCTGGGGCCATCAAGATCGCCGGTTGGGGCCCTCTTGGGATGCTCTTGGGCGGCTCTTGGGCGTTTGAGGGGCCGCTGGGGTGCCTCTTGGGCCAACTCTTGGGCCTCAGATTGCCCATCTTGGGGCCATCTTGAGGCCTCCAAAGCGCATCGGAAGCGAGCAGACGAGAAGTCAAAAATCATTGATGTTCCGTAGGCATTTGACGGATTTTGGCTTCTGGGGGTGTCCTGATGGGGCTCCGGGAGCACTTGGAACCGTTTTGTGGCCCGCGGTGGGCCTCTTGGAGGTATGTCGGAAGCTATCGTGATCCATCCTCGGCTGCTTTGAGCTGCCTTGGAGGCCATATTGGAGCATCCGAGGCCCTTTCGGAGCCATCATGAGCCATCTTGGACGCTCTTACCCTCCCGTCCTGCTCCTGGAAAACTTCAGGGAGGGGAGGGGAGGGTACCCCTACCCCTCCCCAAAGGGAAGAGGATGTTTTGGAAGAGGAACGAAAGAACTTGTCAGACCACCTTAGCCCGCAGGGCTGGTGGGACTTGCAGTGTCCCATCGCAGGCCTAGAGATTGACACCAACATCAATTTCGGCGGTGTGCCTCCACCGAAGGAAGAAGATCCCGATCTCGGTGATGGTGGTAATATTCTGGCTTCCAAGGTGGCCGAACTATTGCCACCAACACCGAAAATCTGGGACCATCTTCCCCCTGTGGATGCAACCCTCTGTCTTGGTGTTGGTGCCAATTTCCAGGCCTCCCATCCCAGGGGGGGTCGATGGTCCAGGGGGGAGGTCTGTAGAGTTTATGATTCTTCTTTTGGAAGGATAATTCACGTGGTGCAGGCTGTATGGTGTAGTCTATGTGGTGCGAGCGATGTGGTGTAAACTATGTGGTGCGGCGGAGGAGGAGGAGGAGGAGAAGCCCTCAGTGCCAGCAATGTGTTGGGAATCAAAGCCACCCAAAGGTTGTGATCGTTTATTTACTCACGGTTTTGCCGATCGGCGCCCCCCCTCTCCCCCCCCCCGGAGTAGATCTTGGTTGTTTGGGGGCGATTGTTTCGATCGGGTGGAGTCTCTCCCAGAGGCAGCGCTCTTTGCAAACAGTCGCTCTAAGCAGAGGTCTGGAGCCCGACCCCCCCCCCCTTCCGCCCAATGTCGAAGCGCCGAAAAAAAAAACGCCCACGCTGCCGACGCAGATCGAAAGCACGCGGTCACTTTGCGTGCTGTCAGCATTGGGAGAATCTCGAAGGGCATGATGCCACAAGCACGCATCTCCCGGGATCCGCGCGGAATCCTCGGGTCGGCGTTGGAACCCCCACCTCTGGCGCGCTTCGGCGCGCCACCGGCGGCACGGGGTGGTGGCCCAGCGCCGACCTTGCGCAGACCTAGAACACCGAATACCCCTTCCTCTGGAGGCACATGTCAGTATTGGCGCCCCTTCGGGAGAGGAATGCAGATCGAGGAGGCCCGTCTCGAGGTAGCACTCTGGCCTGTCCACCGCGTGTTTCACAGTATTTCCATCGTCCTCCAAGCTTTCCACTCTCCCCCATTGCATCCATGTGGTTTCCCTCCCTCTTCCCCATTCGTATTTCTTGTCCTCATTCTCCTCGTCTTGACACTCCTCCACCGACTTTTTGGTGTTAGGAAGCTCACAGGGAATTTTCAGTTTTGACCGTCACAGCCAACTAGAACGGCGGACAGAGGCCCAGAGTTAGTACAGGAGGACTAGGGCGATTGATGACAGCAGAAGCATAAGAGAAGAGGAATGGGGGCACTTTCGATGGCAGCACGCATCATCGGGCCCACCACCTTTGGCGCTGTGATTTTGGAGCCTGTTCACTCGAAATTGTCGTTGACTCGGCGTGCCCCCCCCGAAGCCATCCAAATCTCCATCCTGCGAGGAAGCTGCTGGTCACGCCTCCGAAGATGGAGCACAACTCCAACCTATTCTCGGACGCCTCATTCCTCGCCGTGCCGGCGATCCACTTTTTCGGGTTCCCGCCTTTGTCCCTAACTCCTCCAGTGATTGTGAGGTCCGCCTGCCGCTGAAACAGGCCACCGCACTCAGACAGCTTAGATCACATGGCTTCGGTCGAGCGATCATCACAGGGGATTATTGCAAGCAGCCGGTTGAGCTGTTGGGGCTTGCCTCATGATTCGTTCAGGCTCAGGGTCTGGTGACGACCTTGAATGGAACGCGCGGTATCTAGAGTATCGAAGACGCCTACGGTGAATCACCGTCGCCTTCTCCTCTTTGGAAACGCCTACGTGGCCAAACGTTGGGCCAACTGCTGGCCGCGATATTGGACTGTTGGGAAATGCGGAGCCCTTTTGGGAATATGTGTGGAGTAAGAGGGAGAGGAGGAGGAGACAGAGGAGGAGGAGGAGGAGGAGGAGGAGGAGATGGCGAGGGAGGAGGAGGAGTAGGAGGAGGAGGAGGAGGAGGAGGAGGAGATGGAGATGGAGAGGGAGGAGAACGAGGAGGAGCTGCAGGGCCGTCTTGGAGGTCTGTTTGCCAGTCTTGGGGCCATCCTTGTGGCCGTTCACGGGACCTCTTGGTTCTTTTGAAGCCCTCTTGGAGACCGTCTTGGGGCTACGTCGGAGGCATTTGGGGCCGTCTTCGGCTGCAGAAGCCCGACAAGGCGACGACTTGAAACCAATTGAACATCCAGTTGGACATTGAGGGGCTTATCTTTGGTTGTTTTGGCCGTCTTTGGCCATCTTGGAGGAATCCTGAGCCGTTTTGGAGGCATCTTGGGGCTATCTTGGCCGTTTTGGGAGGTTTTCGTGAGCACGGTTATGGGTTAGCAAGCCCGATGAAGAGTCCGCCGATCTGCACTAGGCCGGATTAGATTTGGGATTAAGCCAGATTAAACGGGATTTGCCAGCGAAATATCCTCACCTCATGGCCCGTAATTGACAGCAGAACATCCTGGCCTCCCTGGTCTTGGATGCCCTCTTGGGGCTCTACGGGAGGCTTCTTGGCCCGTATATCTTGGACGCCCGTGTGGCCGTCTTCGGCTTTTCGAAGGCCAGAAAGGCGAACACGCGAACACATTTGAGCAACCACAGTGGAATCATTGATTTGGCCTCTTCGGGCCCTCGGGGGGGGGCATCTTGGAGGCCTCGTGGGCCGTCTTGAGGCCGTCATGTGGTCATCGTTGATCGTCTTAGGACTGTCTGAGAGGTATCCTCAGCCGTCACGGTGGCATCTTGGGGCCATCTTGGAGGCCCTCTCGGAGCTCTTTCGTGCGGGGTAGCACTTGCCTCCCACTGTTCCCAGGTGGCCAGCGGGATTGGTCGGGACCCCTATGGGAACCTTTTGAAAGGGCCAACACGACCTCACACAACTGTCACGCCAAGAACAGGTTTGGGAGATCCGTGATGCGGATGAAGATGATGTTGATGGTTAGGTGGTTGATGATGATGATGATGATGATGATGATGATGATGATGATGATGAATATTACAATGATGCTACTGATGCTTGTGCTGATACTGATGATGGTCATGATGGTAATGCTGCTGCGGTTGATGAAGGTGATTATCGTGATGATGGTGACATTGGTGAGGCTACTGATGATGCTGATGATTTCGATGTTGATGGTGATGGTAGTCGGGATGATGAGGGTGATGAAGGTGGTAATGATGAAGTTGACGCTCATGCTGATGAAATGAAGGTGACGCCGATGGTGGTGATGATGATGCTGATTATGATGATGTCGATGGTGACGGTGCTGATGATGATGATGATAACCTTGATGGTGGTGGTGATGTTGATGAGTATGGTGCTGGTGACGATTAAGATGATGATGGTGATGTTGATGCTGATGATGATGATGATGATAATGATGATGTTGATGCGTGTGCTGATGCTGATGATGGTCATGATGATGATGCTGCGGTTGATGATTGCGTTGGTGAAGGTGATGATCGTTATGATGGTGAGAATGGTGAAGATAATTATGATGAAGGTGATGGTGATGGGGATGGTGATGGTGGTCGGGATGGTGAGGGTGATGAAGGTGGTGATGATGATGTTGACGCTGATGCTGATGAAATGAAGTTGAAGCCGATGCTGAAAATGACGATGATGCTGATTATGATGATGCTGATGATGCTGTTGATTTCGATGTTGGTGGTGCTGGTGATGATGCTGATGATAAAGACGACGATGATGATGATGTTGATGCTGATGATTATGATGCTTATGATAATGATGCTGGTGATGCTGATGATGATAATGAAGAAGAACATGATGGTGGTTATGATGATGGTGATGATGCTGATGATCATGATAATAATGTTGGTGGTGATGATGTTGATGATGATGCTGATGATGATGATCATTAATGATGCTGATGATCATGATACTGATATTTGTGGTGATGATGTTGATGATGCTGATGATGATGATGATGATGATGATGATGATGATGATGATGATGATGATGATGATAATGATGATGCTGATGATGCTGATGAGGATGATGATCATGATAATGACGAGGAGGAGGAGGAGGAGGAGGAGGAACAGCAGGAGGAGCAGCAGGAGCAGGAGCGGCAGTAGCAGCAGCAAGAGGAGGAGGAGGAGGAGGAGGAGGAGGAGGAGGAAAGGCAGTGACATGTGGCACGCCGCGTCTTCTCGTCTTCGGGTGTTCTCATGATGCCCGCGGGCCATCTTGGTGCCGTGTTGGCCTACTGGCCTCCCGTGCGGAAGTCTTTTGGGATCCCTTGGAGCCTTCTTGGGACCCTCTTGGGCCGTCGTGGAGCCCTCTTGAGCCGTCTTGGGGCTCTCGTGGGCCACCTTGGGGCCCTCCTTGCCGCGTGGGGGGTGTCTGGGGGCCGTCGCGGGGCCGTCTTGTTGCCGTCGTGGGCAAATCGAAGGTGGGTCCCTCGGTGCCACCTCGGGGCCGTCTTGGGTGCCTCTTGGGCCATCGTGGGGTCCTCTTGGGCCATCTGGGGCGTTCCAAAAACGGCCTTGCCTTTGAGGATGCAACGACTTGACACTTCTTCCTCGACGGAAGGGCGGCGGACGAAGAACGAGGCCAGCTCCGCCGGCGGAAGCCGGCGGAAAGCTGGCGGCAGACGGCAGAAGTAAAACATGCGCCCCAAACAGATGATAACGTTTTGGGGTTCATGGTTGCCAGAATCCGCCATTTGGGGGGCCCTTCCGAGGGTCTCTTGTGCCGTCGTGGGGCCATCTTGACGGCTTCCTGGGCCGTCTGGAGCCAACGGACGCCCGAAACGTTGAAAATGCGAAAGTCATTTAAATATCACAGTCGGGAAATGGGTGGTCTGGGCTTCGTCTGATGCCCTGTTGGGGCCATCGTTGCCGCTGGGCGGGACCTAAACGCTGTTGTGCTGGACTTCGGCTGTGTTTTGTTTTTCGTTTTGGGAGGGAGGTACAGGAAAGCAGGCAGCGCGAAACGAACGAAAACAACAACGACAAACAGCGTTAGGTCCAGCCCCGTCGCATTCGGGCTCCTCTTAGGCTTCAGTCGGGCGTGTCCTTCTACAGGGGGAATATTCCAAAATAATGAAAAATAGTCTGGGGACGATTTGTCTAGAATTTGTTTGGCTATTTTTTAGGATGTGTATGCTGCATGTCTCGTCCACAAAAAATCTTCCTTGTAGGGGGACAGGCCCGACCCAATCTCAGGCCCTCGACGAGTCAGGCGATCGCAAACATGGATCAAGACGGCGTGGATTAGCGACGGGTCGCGTTTCCGGGGGAAATCGCTGATCTCCGCCGCCGAACTAGGCGGCACCGGCCGCATTTTGGGGAGGGCACCTCCCCCGATCCATAGATCTGGCGACCGCGCGCCAAATCCATGGATCGCTAATCCACTGTTGCGCGCCCCCGAGTCCAAGGCGCGGTGGGCCACCCCGGTGGCCGTGTGGCCGGCTGCTTGGGACGTCCCGGGAGCTCGGGGCGCGCGGACACGTCGCCTTTTTGTTGGGTTGTTTCACGAGGGCTGCCCATGCGTCGTCGAAAGGTGATAGTTTTTTATTCATTGTTTTGCCGACCAGCGCGGACCCTCGCATCCCCCGTTCCCCCCCCCCCTGGTGGAGTAGATACTGGCTGTTTTTTGGCGCCTGTTTCGAGGGGGTAGAGTCTCCCCCATAGGACGCACGGTCCCAAACAGTCGCACTAAGCAGAGGTCCAGAGCCAGACCCCCCCTCCTCCTTTCCGCCCAAGGTCGGAACGCCGAATAAAAAACGCTCACGAGTCGATGTTTGTTGTATTCCCAGTTCCTGATCTACTTCGGCCACCTTCCTGCTTCCAGGGCCAGGCGCTTTTCCCACTTTTCCCTCCTCTTCAGGAGGCGGGCGGGATCCCAATCGACTCAGGAGGGAAAGAAACACACAGACACAATTAATCGTCGACTCCCCAGAAAATATAGGAAAATATGGGAAGTGGGAGGAAGACAGAAACCCAGAAAATATGGGGAAATATGGGGAATAGTTATTATTTGTCTGTATTTATTTGTGTGTCCCAGGGCCCTTTCAGTTACAGCGATCTGCCAGAGGAGGGGGGGAGTCTCTGACAGAAGAGTACGGCAAGAAGGAGGTGCACGATCGGGCTCGGGTCGGGGAGGGCACCCAAGTGCTCTTCGTGCTTGTGGGACGTTCTTGTGCGTCCTCGGGAGGGTACCCTCGAACGTTCTGCGGTCTGGCCGGCGGAGGGCCGCACGTTCTTGAAGTCGGGGCCTAAGAGACGGGGGTCAGTGCAAACGGGGGTCAGCCAGGGCACCGGATCCTGCAGGATCCTGCGAAGACCCCTTCTGGCTGTTCCAGGTTAGCGAGCCGCTCGTGGCCGCGAGGCGGCCGCGCATAGTGGCTGACCCGGGTTTGCGACGACCTGCGCTGCAGTCTTTGTTCCTTGCATTGCAGTTTTTTGGTTTCCTGCTGACCCGGGTCTGGACTGACCTGGGTCAGCAGATCCAGGGGGGAAAACACACAGACACAATTAATCGTCGATTCCTTGGAA